CTTGTTGTATGTAATTACTTACCTGATTTTTTTCACACTTGCCTTACACATTGTTTTTTATGACGTTATTGTAACCAAAAGGGAGTTCAAAGGCGTTCGCCTACTTTTCCCTTAATAAATCTGATCTGATCTGATCTGATCTCGCGCTGTCGTTGCTGAAGTTGGCGGCGACTGCGGTAGAAGGCAGCTTTGTTGTCCTCAGTAAGGTGATCTACGTAGGCTTTGTGTAGGCGGTTCTTCTCAACAAGCAGATTTCTGATGGCGACGTTGTCGTCGAACCAGTCCTGGTGTTGGCGGGGAGCGCAACCGAGGACGGATAGCGCCGTCGACTGGACCGTGTCTCGCAGTTGACACCAGCTGTTCTCGACGGAGGCGTTCTCGGCAGCGGCGGCGTCGACAGCAATAGGAAGGTTGTCTAGCCTTTGAGCTAGCTCATTGCTGAAATGAAGATGGTGAGCGGGCAAAGACAACAAGGCAACATTCAGCTTACCTGGGGATCGCTTACCTTGTGGTCTCCTGCGAGGCTGTAGGCGAATACGCATCTTCGAGATGACGAGGCGATGGTCGGTCCACCCGTCAGCACCCGCGATCGCCTTCGCCACCAGCACGTCCCGCTGATCTCGCCTCCGGACGAGGAAATAGTCCAGTAGGTGCCACTGACGCGACCGAGGATGCTTCCAGGTGGCCTTCTCTCGCTCCATTAGACAGAAGAAGGTGTTCGTCAGGATGAGGCGGTGTTCTGCGCAGGTGCGGAGCAGCAGCAGACCATTGTCGTTGGATCCGCGGAGACCGTGGGGACCCAGCACTCCTCGCCAGGCTGTATGGTCGGAGCTGACGCGGGCGTTGAAGTCACCGAGGACAATTACCTTGTCCGCCTTCGACACTGTCGCCAGGAGGGCGTGCAGGTCCTCGTAGAATTTGTCTCTTGCGACGGCGTCGGGGCTGCTCATGGGCGGAGCGTATGCGCCGATGATGGTGGGGAATTTGCCCCCCCCGCCGTCGGAGAGGCAGACGGAGGCTCATCAGGCGATCGTCGATGCCCTGCGGCAGACAGGGCAGTCGTCCCACGATGTCGTTCCGGATGGCGAAGCCGACACCTGCGTCTTGTCCCTCTGGCCTGGGCTGACCACTCCAGAAGGTGTAACCGGCATCCACCTCCTCCAGTTGGCCTTGTCTACCTTGTAGCGCGCCAGTTCCCGGGCCACTAGCGCCGTCCTCAGTTCCGGTCGGTTGCTCCTCGGATTGTCTAAAAGGGAACGAACATTCCAGGCCGCCACAGTGAGCGCATTCACCCTGCCAGTCTGGTGACAACGAGTGGGGCGACGGGAAGGAGGTGGAGAAGAAGATGGCGAAGAAGAATAGGCAGAAGAATAGGCAGAGGAAGAGAAAGAAGAGGTAGGATGAGGAAGTGAGCGAGTATTGTTGTTGCTGTTATAGGTATTGTTGTTGTTGTTTCGATTTTGATTGTTTCGACCATGGTTAGACGTCTGCGGCCCTGGCTAGCCTGAAGACGGTGTGGCGCCCAGCAATGTTTAGGCCACCTTTTCTAGGCCCTTCCCCTCGTGGGGGCTGGCAGTGCCATCCCTGAATAGGGCTGCCATGTGCCGTTCTGGCACGGCCGAACTCCACTATGGGGCCACGACTTCGGTTTGTAGTGGAGAGCGACTCGAATTCGCCATAAGTCGTGGTCTCCGACGGCGTAGGTGGGCGCGTCAAGGCGATGTCGATGTGGAGATCCATCCCGTCACCGGCTGCCCAGCGGCGTGCTGAGACGAACCACGTTACGACGGTGCCGACGCAAGGTTCCATCCGACCTTCCATTCGGCGGAATCCGCAAACCCTGTGCACACGGCACAGCGCACAGGGCCCCATCACCTGGTTTAGCCCGCCGGTCGAGACGGTTGCCTGGGGTGTAGCCGCTGAGCAGAGCCCAGCTACGTGGAGCCACAGGTGAGAGTTGAGTGCCAGCAAGTGAACGCTAGGCGTGGTCTCACCTGCAAGCAAGTGAGCGACCACCACGTCCATCACGTGTACCCACCACTGACACCCCTACACCCCAAGCGGACCTCAAGCGGATAATAATCCACAGGAACCTGTAGTCGGAGAACTTGGAATAATCAACCACTAAGTTTCCGCCGATGAGATGTTTGACTAAACCCGCTTAATTGGAGTAAAGGCTGTTGCATGCTGGTAGCATCCATATAACGGCATCTTTTTGACCTTTATATCTCCACATAACTACCGCATATGTTCTGTCAGCACACAGCAAGCTTTATTCCAGATAGTTTAGTCTGATTAGATTTCACCCAAGTCCAATATCCTGCAGGTAGACCATTCTTGCGAGGCAGGATGTGATAAATTGGTAACCATATACGTACGTCAAGTTTATCGCAGATATATTTGCACTTTTCTGCTTAATTCACTTTGCTTTCTTAGATGGGATGAAGACGTTAATACACAGACAACTTTTTGTATTCTGCATAAATGTTTGCTCTAGTATTTCACACAAATGTATTTTGCCCATCTCAAACAACTAACAATTTCGACATAATATCTACACCGTTAGTACCTTGTTCACTGTAGCACATAAAGGACAGGCCTTTGAACCAGGGCGTGCGCAGAAACGAAGGGTGGAAGGTGGGATGAGTCCCCTCATCTGTCTCAAACGATATCATCCCCCCCCCCAGTCCATTATGCATGTTTCCGTTGCATAATACTAACGAGGGGAAATCGAAACCGATACGTGGGAAACAGTCAAAGTGTTACGTGTTAAGGTCACACATCTGGAGGGAGAGATTCCCTTTATACGATAGTTCGGCCGTCGTTACCGACGAGGTCGACCGTGTGCTCCACAGAAGGGTGAGAACAAGCACGGTGACTTGCACCACCGGAACCGAAGGAGTGCGAGGGCGCAGTTGACTAGCAAGGCGAATGAACACGCACCTAGGCGTTCCACTTCACATCCCCCTGGTTTAAAACAAACACTTGACCAGGATTTAACCCAAAAAACAATGAGGGGAGAGGCGGCAGGGATCCGAATTGGCGCGACCTGGGCCTGCAACCGCACTCAGAATAGGTCAGTCAGTCAGTATATTTTAAGAGTAATAGGCAATGCCTTTGAAAACCCTATTATAAATGGTACATGCAATATCTCACTATAAATAAACATGGTACTGAAATGTTGTCAGTAATATACACATTTAACAGAATATTTTCGATGGAAATGTAGAACCAAAACTTGAGAACATTCAGTTGTAGATGATTTCAGTAAAATGTAATGACAGTCCTCCGCATTAGTGGTATGAGTATGCAAGGCGTTGGTTTAGCACCACAGAGCTGTTATGTCCAGACAAGCGATAGTGTCCAAGCAAATATGCATCGAGTCTTTGCTTGAACGTCTCCGTGGTATCCGCCATTATTACGTCCTCGGGAAGCCCGTTCCAGGCACCGACGACTCGCTGTGAAAAACAGTATTTGCGAACGTCCCGGCGGCATCGGGATCCTCTAAGTTTTAGAGAGTTCCCACGCAGGTTTGTTGTTGTGGCCAGGGTGAAGAAATCGTCGGGGTTTTGGGCACATTCCCGGTTGCTCAATATCCGATAGGCCTGTATGAGATCTCCTCGAACCTGCCTGTACTCAAGAGGAAAAAGTTTAAGTTCCCTAAGTCGGCAGTTGTAAGGTAAAGTCCTGAGGCCTTTTACAATTTTTGTTGCTCTCCTCTGAACTCTTTCTAGCAACTTATTGTCTTTTTTAGCCATGGGCGCCACGCTTGGATTCCATATTCCAGATGCGAGCGAATGAACGCTCCGTATACTTTTCCAAATAACTCTTTGTCTATGTCCACGAAAGATCGTTTAATGGCAAGGAGAACACTAGTTGCTCTTTTGGACGCCCTAACACACTGAGATGAAGGCTTAAGGGTCGACAGAATGTTAACCCCAAGATCTTTTTGTTCGGTTACATTTGAAAGGCACCTTCTACCAAGTTGGTAATGGTGATCCTCTCCGTCAGATCTTCCAGTCGCACATCTCTAGGTTAATCTTTAGCAGCCATTTGTCAGACCATTCGCATAGGCGGTTCAGTCCTTCTTGCAGAGCCCGTTCATCATGTTCGCCGTTGATCGCTCGCCATAACTTGATGTCATCAGCAAACATGACTCCATTGCAGTCCAGTCCATTCATACAGTCGTTGACATAAATTAAAAATAGAACTGTTGGCTTTTGTTATAGTGCGCACTCCGATAAGGCCTGTCAGAATCCAGTCTAATCCTGCATTGTCCCTTTTGGGAGGACGCATTCCCATATACCTGCCAAGTTACTGGTGAGGAGTGCAGTTCGGTTGGCAAGTACAGAGAGGGGGGGCTGTGGAATTCAGTGCTCAACCAGTAGACATGTGTTAGGGGCGCTTTGACGCCTATGCCTGCGCCCTCGATGCAACTGCTGAAGGAGACATGCAAAGGAGCATGGATCTCATCTCCGGCGACTGCGAGAACTTCGGTCTGATCATCAATACTGAGATGACCGCGGTCATGCACCAACCGCCACCCGACACGGCCCAAAATGAGCCGCAAATCAGTGTGAACGGAGCCCACCTGCAAGTGTCGTACAACTTCACGTATCTGAACAGCACCCTCTTCTGTTGCGCCAAAATCGACGATGAAGTGGCCCGCCGGATTTCCAAGGCCAGTCAAGCCTTTACCCGTCTTCAAAACACATTTTGGAATCGTCATGGTCTTCAGCTCAGTATGAAACTGAAGATGTATAGGGCCGTCATCCTCCCGACGTTGCTGTATGGGGCAGAGACGTGGACGGTGTACATGAATCAGGCATGCAGACCCAGCCACTTCCACTTCAGTTTTCTTCGTCGAATACTGAAGCTGCGGTGGCATGACCGGACCCCGGATGCGGAAGTACTGGGGCGGAAGAGAATCCTCAACATCTACGCTCTTGTTGAGACAACTACCCTGGAGTGACCATCTCATACGGACGGATGACAGGAGGCTACCCAAACGACTCTTCAGCTGAGATGTCTCGATGGGTTCACGCCGACAAGGAGGTCAAGTCCGGCGCTACAAGGATGCTATGAAAACCTCTCTGAAATGCCTGCAGATCAACTCGGCAAACGGAAGATCTCGCCCGAGACCGGCCTACGTGGAGGAGAACATTGAAGACAGGGGCAGCAATCTTCGAAGCCATCCGCATCACCGCCAAACGTGAGACACGCAAATCCAAATGGCCGCCGTCGCCTCACAACGTCAACACCCCACCGCCTCCTACCTGTCCTCGATGTCAACAGACATTCCGGGTGCCAATTAGACTTCCTAGACACCTCCGGACCAACTGCAGCACTCGAACAGCACCAAACGTCGGCTCCCACATCGTCAGATAACGTTGACTGCCCTCCCGAACCACCACTACCATCCCCCCCTCCTCCTCCATCACCGCCTCAACATCTGTCATGTTGGCGTCTGGCATGCCCATCAACAATACACGTAATCCTGACACACTTACACCACCACCGTCAACACCAGTGATGAGGTCCCGGTTTATACCTGTCCACAATACCCTCGCACCTCCACCCCACACATCGGCCTGGTAGGTCACTTGCGAATTCATCGCACAGAGACTGACGAACCAGTGCCAGGAGCACCAACCTACACCCGCCGCATTTACCTTCACTATCGAAATCTCGCTCGCACATTTTTTCACCGCATGACTATATTAGGCCACATGTGCGTCCATGTAAACCTGCGGCTTAAAACCGCCGACTGCGTCACACCATCACATCCTCCCTCACCAGCATCTCACCTCACATCAACAACACCCACCGCAATCACCCAACTGCCACCTTCCACGCAAGTGGGAAGTGTGCCTCTCGGCTCCGTTTCCATGGGGCTCCTAGTCTGCCTGTGACTTCGGAGTCTGAGACGAAGACGGTGCGTCGAGCGTCCTGGCTCGGACGACAGCTGACTGACGCCCCAACTCAGTTCACGCAGTCTGCCCAGTTGTGCGTGTTGTGTGAAGTGGCGGACTGGTGGGTTGAGAGCCAGGCTGTCACGACCCCTTCTCGAGCTATCTGTGACATTCTGATGCATGTGAGAAGAGTGTTTGTGTGTGTGCTTTATGGGTAGTGTCTCTCAGTCGACGACTATTTGGTTACCCAACCTTGACGGGTGACGGCCTAGGCTAAATGTAGTGCCACGTGTTGCCCTTATAGGTCAAAAGGTCTGGAAGCGTGTACTATGTCAGTATCGGCCAACAATCACCCTCACAGCCTGGCATGCGCTGGCAGTTCCCTGACACCTGGGTCTCTGTCGATAGCCGCGCTCCTGCTGCGTACACAGGTAGTAGGCATGGCTGCCCAGTCATCATCCTCGTCCTTGCGACCTCTGTTGAGGGTTTTGTGTTGTTGTTGGTCAAAAACCTGGTCATTTGCTTTGTGGAGCAGGGGTGTGGAGTGGAACACCAGGGTGCGGTCTCGACCACGCCATCCACCTGCTCTCCCCCGCCTCTGCTCCTCTTGGCTCTATCCTGACACCAGCTTCAGGTGGAGAAAGGGGAAGGGAAAGTGCGGTAGATGCTGCGTAAGTCTACTATCACTACAAATTATTTCACGCGCAAATTTCCGTGCCTGCTGCAACTTGTTGTGGAGCACACGGTGAACATCGTTGAAATCGACGGTCGAACTGTCAACATTTACGAGGATGAACAAGAGGCCACCGGTAAATCTCATCCTTGGCCCCAGCGGATGTAAAAGGAAAAGATATCGACACATGCAAGCTACTCTCTGACGCTTCGTTTCGTGCACTACACGTTATCGTTTGGGCGTGAAGTGGAACACTCATACTGCCCCTCTGCTGCTGGAAATGGCTCTTTTGTTATCTTGTCGTACTTGAGATAGTAGGGCCAAATTAAGTCAGACAAAATTTTTGATTCACAATTTTAAGGACCAGGCATTAAAACTATGCGTAGCGTCCAGGCCACGCTGGGCCTGGTTGGCACATACCGCATTCACACTCATCGCAGGCCCACACGTGCCGTCTACATCTCCCAGAGCTAATAAAGACCACGGAAAATTGCGCAAGCGGAGCAAGCTTTCTAAACTAAGGATAAACTGTCCGCATAAAGACTGCAATTTGGCACTTCATCTTGGGCTCACCGTCGCGTGGATTCAGCCGGCAAGGCATTCTCATAGCATTATAGCAATTGACTTTGCAAGGCTATGGTCGATTAGGTCCCCTTAAGAGAGACGACAGGGTAACGTTTGCTTTTGATGAAGCAATATCTCGAGGGTAACTCTTTTATGATCACTACTTTGTGAGCTCATGTCCTTATATAGGAGGGTACGTGAGATATTTGTCGACTGTTTACCAACTGCGTCCATATAAACGCGCTCTACATATTTTCGTATTCTAAAATTCGCCTGATGGAGTAAGGATTAGCCTGACCTTTGTGCCTGGCATAAAGTGACCGCCCGCTTTTGTAAACATGCCAACGCACTGATTCGACTCCATGAATTTAGCGTCAAGCCTTGAACCATGAAGTAAGAGGGTAATAAGTTTAACTGTTCCCCGTTAATAATGGGGCGTTTTTCAGGAACAGGGGTAGAGGCGAAGATTCACGCTAGCGCAAGCTCAACTCCTACGGGCTGGGACAAACTGGGGTAAATGGGGCCGTAGCTCAAACTGAGGGATAATTTGTCCTTTATTTTGTACAGCTAATTAACTGTGCTGCAAATTTTCACAGTGTGGATAGCATGGCTTTGTTCCTTGCATGACTCTCCATGTAAGTAATCGCTTCAAGTCTAAATCACATTTCAGAATTTCCATTAACATTTCATGAGTTAGCACATCTACTGTACACTATTGTCGGGAGGCGTAAGAAGTGAGATGTGCTATTGGCCAGGATGCCGACCGCTGGATGAATTAACATCTTGTCGTCTTGAAAACGAAGCTCGAAACAAACCAAGCAGGTGACCTCAAGCCCCTGTTACTTTAAACAATTTATTTTGAGAACACCAAATCACTGTTTGGATTTTGACATCCGCATGAACATGAATATCAAAGCAATGCAGGTTCTGGGGCTAAATGAGGATGCTGACGCCTACACCCAATGGTAGAGTCTGCGAGATAGCATCCACGTCCGTACTGTAGGAGTTTCTGGATGCGTAATTTGGCAGCAGCAGATTTGGTTTGACGAAAAGAGTGAAGAAAGCCAATGAATGACTTTAAGGAAATACATTCTAATCACTAACTAGGCCAGAAGTAGGACCAACATTAATAACGCCGCATTCATCAGATAAGGAAGTTTATTTCGGCGAAGTTTGAGGGAGATGTCGAATGGTTGGCCAACTTGCGAGGATACACCGACCGTAGTGAGATGAAAACCTATTCGATGTCAGTACAGTAGTTTACGTCTCTCAAGCCAAAAAACAAAGGAACTGCGCCGCTGATCAACTCAGACCGCGCAAGCCTGTTGTCGGAAAAGCAGCTGATACTAGAACGTTCGACTATTCACGACAGTGGTGCTCACAATCGTCAATTAGGAATCAGCGAGGAGTCAGTAGACGCCTTCATCAAGTGGAGAAAAAAGCCGGCTCCGAGCACTCAGTTTTCTTGCGGGAGACAATAGAAGTAAATCAAACATTTTTCCCTTCGAGAAAACATTGACAAATTAAGTGACCCTCAATTAAATGCAGAACGTACTTCATCGTTCCGGAAAATGGGACAAGGGCAAACCCCCGATGGTTTTAAAAATATTACCATTACTCATTTACAAAGCACCAAGAAAATTTATAAGTCTACGACAACTCCCACGAAATCTGTCTTTCCAGCAGTGGTAAAAAGATGTTTCTCCGAGTCACAGTCAATCGCCTTAACGCACATTTAAAACAGGAACACCGTCCGGCCTATACCACCATGAAGCGCGATGGGCCCCGGAAAATTATGCAGAAAAAATGCCCTAAGTGGCTTACAGAGATGATCAGACCGGAGGTTCCGCACTGTACAGTCTCCAGTTCGCTGTCTAGCTGGCGGGCACATTTCGTCAGAACTGGCGGAAAATTAAAAGGCCACCCGATATGTGAAAAAATGTTCAGTCTGCCTCACTAGGACCCCTATGACAGTTTTAACGAACGGTTTTGATGACCTTGTGGCTACATATGACTATGCGCCAAACACCTCTACGAAGGAGAAAGAGGAGAGGGGGGGGAAGAGCAGAAGGAGGAGGGGGACATTTAGCGGGACGTATACCTTTTTGCCTCCCACTCCCCAAACTCCGAACTGTAGTGGACAGCCATAATGGCTACGTCGCGCCTCTCGCTGGTGCCTGCACCTACGTCCTAGCGACAGCCTGCTATGGCACGCACGTCTGCCCGGCTTCGATTTGTCTCGTTGCAATTCACTGTCTGCACCACGCATTCGGTCGATTCTCTGCCTGCACCATGCGAGGCTACTCACTACCCTCGCATGGGCTTGGAGCCTATCAACGCACCTACTATCGCTGATTGGTAAGACAGGCAGAAACAGCCCAGAACACTAGCGTAAACAATCTGTCACGACACTTTTGCAGCGGCGACCTTCGGCGACACAGAGTCTGTCGCTCTTGCGGACGCCGCCTCCGCGGCACCGAACGCATCCTCGTCCGGTTACCAAATTTCCCCTTCACTATTCTGTACAGAATAATGTGTGCTAACCAAATGGCGTCCTGCTTCTATCAACATGGGATATGACCTGAAGTTGTGGCGAACCGAGCGTACACTATCACCGCTTAGCCGCTACAGAATTAACCATCAGCACATGGGCGGCAATGGTCATGTATCAAATGACGCAGATGCTGACTAAACCGAGCCTATGATCAATATTAGTGACATTGGCCTCGCATGGGAGGGAAAATTCACATGCTTGGGCGGAGCATTGCCAAACAACATCAATATTGGTGTCGCTATCGTTAATGTGAACTCCAAAGCCAACCA